GGGTCAGGAAACTTGGTGGCAAGGGAAAGGTGGCAATAAATACAGCCACCCTCTCTTGCTGCCAAATTCCCAAACCCTGAATTCTGTGCAGCAGGTTGGGGCCAGGTCACCCTGCCGCTACTGCTCATCTGGTCTGCTGGCCAAAAAGATTGAGCACCACTGGACTAAAGGAACTCATAGATTTCTTCTGTCTTTTAATCACTGCTTGAAAGGAGAGTAAAGGAAGGTGGCAGAAATACCAGAGAGGTACTGGGGGAGAGATGGAAGCAGTGAGAGAGTCCCTGTCCCACTCCCTCCCTCACCGTGGGGGCCTTGACCGGCCCCCGCCATGACTCTTCCTTCCCCCACACCCCTTCCCCTTCACAGACTTACCTGCAGGGTGCTGCTCTGCATGCTCCAGACACTCCCGGTGCCTGTAGAAGGATGTTAGCGACGCACATGATCAGAGGGCAAGAAAACAGGCCTTATGAAGAGAGGTCTTCAGCCTGGAGAAGCTCAGGGGTGACCTGGTGGCAGCCTATAAGTACATCAGGGGTGCTTAGCAGGATCTGGGGGGAACGCCTGTTCACCAAAGCACCCCAAGGGATGACAAGGTCCAATGGTCACAAACTCCTGCAAGACTGTTTTAGGCTGGACATAAGGAAAAACTTCTTTACTGTCTGAGCCCCCAAGGCCTGGAACAAACTCCCCCAGAGGTGGTGCAAGCACCTACTCTGAACTCTTTTAAGAACAAATTTGGACATTTATCTTGCTGGGATCCTTTTATCCTAGCTGATTTCCTGCCCCCTGGGCACTGGACTGAACCCGGTGATCTTACAAGGTCCCTTTCCAGCCCTAACGTCTATGAAATCTAAGACATCTGTGTTTGTACCTGAAACCGTGGAAAGAACATTTTTTCCAACTATTTACTTGGTCTAATAAAAAGATATCACATTACTCAAAGAATCTGGTTTGATTATTAATGAACTTATGTGATTTTCATTGTGGGATGTTTTACACAGAATGTTTGATGGTACTATAATATCAAAGGCACCCCACCCACGTTATGGGAAAAAATGTTTTGAACCTAAGCTTTAATTTTTCTTACACCTCTATGAATGCATCTTACTACCTCACAGTTGTAAGAGGTACATTATAGTACATATTAACAGCCTGTTATAACTATTTGTATAAGATTCCATTTTCATTTCTCCCATTACCCATGGAAATTTTGCTGGAGCATGATAGCAGATCTGTTAAGGCTTCTTGTTATGACTCTACGGATATGAATTCAAGCCCTACTCTGCAATCATGAAAACCATCCCTATATGTAAATTGGTACCTGCTTACTCATGCTGCAAAATCCAAGGTTACATGGTTATCTAGAGAAACCAGCATGCCTTGACTGTACTACGTTGGCAGCCTGTTGAGCTAAGGTAGTCCTTTGACGGTGACCATTTTACAGAAACTTTCCATGTCTAGAGTGGATTTTCCAGCTTGAAATTGCACTGGCCAAAGTTTTCTTGCACGTGTGCCTAAAAATAATTGATGGCTTTTTGGTCAAACTTCATCCATACGCAGAAACTTTAAAATGGAAAATTTTCAGGCAGGCCAACTCCTTGTGATTTCTCCCGAAGTCTTTCCATTACTTCACTGGAAAACGTAATTGTTAGGCATTTAAGAACCTTTTGACTTCTTCACTTTAAACAAACATCCTTTAATGTACGAACACATGGAAATAACGAACCACGGAAAATATGTTTGCAGAGATGTTACCTTTTTATCGTGTCTCTTCCCTATACTTCTGTTTGTTCTGTACTGAAACTCTTTGGGAAAAGACCTTGCCTGTCTGAAACCTCCAATATCTTTAAGTAAAATGATGTGGGTGCACGCCCTTTTCTGATGTACATTTCCTTCTTTGCTTCTGTATATAGCAGTACCAGAAGGAAAAATTTAGTATTTCGTATACTTTGCAACTATATTAGAAATGATAATGAAAAATCAGCATGTGAAAGAACTTTGTAACAACCTGTTATCTTTGTCCAACATAGCCTGTGAGATCTGTCAGTTCTGCCCTCTGTGATTTGAGAATAACGTATTGTTTAAGTGCTCTGGGTTGGATTCAGATTTCAGATGTGCCATTTTGCAAGTCTAGAGGAAATTTGTTGAAAGGCCATCTTTATAATGGGAATAAAGCATCCTACGGGGCAGAAATTAATTGAAGTTTTCGGAGTGCTTTGTGGATTACAGTAATCATGTGTGTAGAAATTCATATTATTAAACTGAAAAGTTTTGAGCACTTGGTATTATATTAGGTCAGTGAATTTCAAATAATGACCTAAATTCTGAGAGTGTGGGCAGGTAATGACTTTTAATCAGCTGAAAAATAGGAGAGAAGTTATAAGTATACATTTATAAGATATTCTTCTCAACTGCTTATTTTTGTAACTTCCTAGAAAATTAAATAGGAAAGAAACCAAGTTGATTACACGTCCTGTAATAGTAACTACTGTAGGTGTCCTAGTGAGAGAGAAGTTCCAAAATTATTGAACTAATACAGCAGGACATGATGTTATACACATGCTTGTGCAGAGCAACACAAGGAGTTCCTTTCTGAAAAGCCCAGACCTTTTTTTCCCCTCTGGGATTGGAAATTCAATCAAAAGTATTTTCAGTGAAATATCTATTCAGGTGTTTCCTGAGCATTGTTAGCTACATTCAAGTTGTTACGCAACGAAGCTTGAACACCATAATGTTATTTTATAAACAAGTAAATGATGACAAAGGACACTCACCGGTCATACTAAAACGATGCAAGATATTCTTGTAATATTGGTAATGAGGTTTTGACTGTTTAAAGTAGGACTCTGTTCCACAAATATTCTTGAAGATTTCTGTATCGGATAATAGGCAGTTCAGAAACTTTTTCTGCTTGCTTGCCCTCAAAGCACAATATCGACTCTGTCTTGTCAAGCTGGTTGTATATTTTCACTGGTAATAAAGATTTTCAGCTGAAATTAAAGTTGCATTGACACCTGTGCATCCTTTTTGCTTATTGTAGGCTTCCACAGAGATAATTGAATGATACTTAACAATTCCATTGGGGATGCTTAGACTAATAGAATCTGCAGCTGCCTCTTAGCGCGTTGGTTCTGCCGAGCCAACAGGCTGTGTAGCTAGCAGTACTTTTTTTTACTTGACTATCTGTAAAGAGCAAGCCTGCTTTGAAGGTGCCATTTTTAGTTCCACAGTTGTAACTTTAATTTAGGATTTTGGAGAGCTTTCTAGTTCATGTAGTAGAAAGAGTATCTTATTTTTTAGGGGGAAAAAACACCTCCCAGTTCCCACTAAAGCTCTTTCAAAGAGCTCCTGTTTCCCGCATTTGTAACCATTTGGATAAGCTAAAAGATGTTCTTATATAAACGTAGGGAAGAGCAGTCTGATTATATAGAGCAAGCAGTGTGACTATCATATAGCATCAGTTTTACCCAACATCCTGCCTTGAGTGTGATGACATTAAACAAAGCCTACGAGACCCATGTGTTTCACAGCAAAATTCCTAATTAATGTTGGAGTTCTTTCTGAAGACACAGCTTAGCTGGAAGTAGTGTCAGCTGTCTGGACTTGCTGATCAATCTCTTATTTTTTGTTAATTAGGTGAGCTGAATAAGCAGAGTAAAGTCTTTGTTTAGAGTAGATCTGCATTGTTCGTTTTGTTTTTGTACTTGCTATTGATTGCTCTCTTGAAGTAGCGGGAGCTCGGGTTGATTGACTACAGAGTAGAAATTGACAGCGGGACAGGGTGCCCCTTGGAGACTTCTCCCTGTGTTATGAGGCAGCTCTTGGGAGTAACGCTAGCTTGGGGCTATACCTGGAGGCAAAGTTAAGTCACCAGTTTTGTATGATCTGGGAGTGGGGAAACATGATTACCTGTGCACAAATGTACCTAAGATCACTGAATTAGAAATCCCGACGGAATGTTTGATTAAAATTAAGGACGTTTCCACCCTGTCTGCAAAATGGAATAAAGTCCGACCACTTAACACCGTAAAATTCTTTCAAAGCTGGGAAATGTTGATGGTCCAGTGCCTTGCTCTGATTGCTCCTGCGTGCTTTCTGAGAAAGCCCTCGCTAGTCTCAGAATGCTCTCAAGCTTGAAGAGGAGGGCAAAATGTTTTCGACCACCACAAAAACCAGTGTTTTCTTTGGAGCTGGAGCACACAGGACAGCATGAAAAGTGATCTGATGAAAACCAGCACACGGGCAGCTCATTAAGGAAAGAGGAGTGAGGGAGTGCGCTTGCCAAAAAGCTCTGAAGAATTAGTATCAGTAAGAGAAATACATGAGTGGAAAGGAACTACTGCAGTAGAGATGCTCACTATTTTTACATCTATTATTTAGTTTCTGAAATGGGATTTAGGAAGGGAACGTATGTTTCTGTTTTTGTGGGTTATATATGACAGAGAAATTTCCTTCAAAAGTTACTATACGCTTTTTGCTATGTTACACCCCAATTATTATGAATCTATAATGGCTCCTATAAGGCTGAAAGCCTGGTTTCTGTATTATTGTAAGGCTTTAAGATACATTCGTTTAGTAAATATAGTCAGTTTTAAACCTTTAAAGTATAAGGGATTTGACCAGGAGGATGGTGCATTTGTAACAGTAAATACATATTTTATTCTTTAGAGGAAAAGCAGCAAAATGAGCCTCTCAGTTATTTTTATATTCTTTTTCAAATAGTTCATTTTTGATCATTTGGGACTAAATATTGAAAATAATGCATGAAGTGTGATTATATATGACTTTATTTTAACCCTAATATTTACCTGTGGTAAATTATTTGATTATGGCTATGGAACACTTCCTTTCGAAAATGAATTGTGGTGGTTAGAAGGTGACAATTCATGACTAATGTAGAAATTTTGCGCGTGCTGGAATTCTTAACTTAATTTGATTGAACAGTTGTTGTGCATAGTAACACAACCGTAATTAATAGATGATTTACCATTATTTTTTAGACACTGGAAGCCATTTTGAACTTTAAATACTCAGGGGGACCAGGACATGTTGAAGGCTACTATAGGAACCTGTCACTGGGCCTTCATGTGGAAGTGGAGCCATCTGTCTTCTTTACACGTGTCAGTACCCTTCCTGCAACAAGGTAACTTTTTCCTTTCAAATAACTATCTAAAATACATAGTGTCATTTGCAGAAGCATCCTGGAAACCTATTGGCGACACCTAGATGAGGTTCTGGAATGAAATGGATAAATCAGATGGAGATGAATAGGCTCTTGAATGGAATAAATAAATTGCATGTGGAAGGGTATAGAATATTGGCTAGTCTATAGTGCACTGACAGTATTTAGTCTGGTAGTCTCTTATTTTAAAAACCAAACACTGTGGTTTAATCAGTTTAAATCTGTTGGAATATTTTTAAAGTTCATACATTTTACTGTCCTATACACCAGTAATGAAACAAATACCACCAAGATTGTGTTTACCTTTATCAGTCCCTGGCACACGTTCATTTAATGGCGCTTTGGAATCTGATCTGAATGATCAGGGTTGGAGCCAACAGTTAGGCAATTGGATGGCACCAGGGTTGGCATGGGTCTCCAAAGTAGTCTAGAAACTGAAGCTGACAGTCAGGTGACAGCTCTTGATCCTCTTTGAGACTGGGCCTCTCTGGGCTAGATGGATACTCAATGGATTGTCAAAAGCCCATACCTGGCAGCTCAGTCCAGGCTGCTGGGCACAGTGGATCAGAGGCTCACAGTGGACAGGGGCAGATGAAGGTCTTCCCTCGCTGGGATCTTTAAACCCTGCTGGGAACGTCTGATCCCCTGCACCTGAGTGGAGCTGCCAGACATGGGGTTTAAAGTTCCTGGCAGGGAAGCCCATTGAAGCCACCTCAGCAGCACTTGTTAAGGCTTCCCATGTGTCAAGGTGCCATGGGGATCTGGGAGCTCCTGGCTCCCCAGCTGCCCATGCTCCACACTATAAAGCAGTGCCTACAGCTGGGGAACTGAGCTACCAGTTCCGCAACTGCCACTTCTGCAGGTACCCTGGAACTTAGAAAAGCTGGCATACAGTTGGGACTTCTGGCTACATGGCTGCTTCCAGCTACATGGCCAACGCTGGTAATCAATCACTTTGGACCACTGCGAGTGGAAAGCCTCTGTGAAACAGAGCCTATGTTGCTTTGAGATGGAGGGGATCAATGATGAGAGAGAGAAAAGGCTTCGGAGGCAGGCAAGACAAATGGTACTTGGCATGCCGGTGCAAGCACAACTGAGGTTGTATGTGCAACTTGTGAAAGGGTCTGCTTATCATGCATTGGACTCCTCAGCCACTCAAGAGGCTGTGGTGGTACCTGGTACCCTCCAAGGTGCAATTTCCATGGTCTCTTGCTGCCAGTGATGAGGGTACCATGAGCCCAACACTGGGAACTGCTTCTTGGCTCATGGCTTCCCTGTCCCATCCCTCTACCTCCAGGGATAGGATGGGGGTGCTGGGTCCAGGACCCAAAACTGCTTCCAGTCTGATCCCACTGATGGGATTAGGGGATCTGTGACCTGGGCCCTGAGGCTACCCCATGCTGGATCTCTGCGCTCAGCTGAGTGTCAGAAACTATCATGGGGCAACCCTGACATACCACATGTTCTATTTAAAGTTTGATACAAACAAGCTACAGAGATGTTCCATGTTATATGTGGAACATTTTTGTGGCTTTTTGCTATATTGTCACACCATAAATTGGCTTTAATATGTGGCCAGATTACTATTTATAGTGCAGTTAATACTTTAAGTGCGTCTTTAACACTTGCCAGAGCGCTCATTTCATTTATCTCCTAATTAGCCTGACAAGGTTATTTATGCTTTTAGATTGTCAGCTCATTTGACAAACACAGTAACTTGATCAGTATGTTTTAAATTGCAATATATATTGGAATCACAACATTTTTCATGTAATTTGGCATGTCCTTGTTTGGTTTTTGTTTTACCATCATATACGTTTCTCATTTTATTAGATGCAAATATATTCAGAAGTGAAATAAACCAAATATTTAATCTAGGGATTAATTTTATACATAAATATATTATGTGTTTGCATAATAAAAATTATGCAGTTTTATTACTAGGGAGATTTGCCAAACACTAGTTAAAAATGAAATGTGTAGTGTAATATGTATAAGCTTACTCTTTTTTTTGTGAGCTGTGCTAAGAAAGTTTTTACAGGATGTTAGCTATAAAGTCTGAACTCAAATACTGGGTGTGCTTGCTTGGGTACTCTATAAATGTTCAGCAAATTATTTATGGTGTTGCAAAAATATAACTTCTGAAAAATAAAATCTGATAACCTCATCAAGGGCTTAGAACAGGAAAAATAGATTGCTATGAATGAGTACAAAAGGAATTGAAAACCAAACAGAAAATATCAGACCATTACACAAATCTGTGATTTACCCACATCTTGACTATTATGGGCAGCTTGTCAAGTAGGATACAGTACAATTAGAAATGTTGCAGAAAAGAGTAGTAGAGATGATTCGAATATGGAATGCTTCCAGGTGATACGATAGAGGGAAAACTAGGACTTCTCAGCTTGGAAAAGAAATTATTGAGGAAGGGTATTATTAAGATGTATAAAATCAAAAATGGTACGAAAGAAATGAATTTGGAACTATGACTCACTGTGTCTCACAATAAAAGAACTAGGGGTCACCTGCAGCTTTCCATTGTTCTGAGACACGATTCTGGGCTGGATGGACCTCTGGTTCGACTGAGTATGATGGTTAAATTTTACAGGGATACGGCATTTACACTTCCTGATGATGCATTGTACAGCAAAAGATCAATTATTTTCTTTCTTGTGCAAGTGTCAGCTTTTGAAACCATTTTATAAGCAGCCTGCCATTACCGCTCCTTTTAAATACAAAAATACAAGTTGTAGATACAGTCCCACGTGACATTCTCACAAATAAGCTGAAGAAATGTGGGTCTGGTAGGATTACTATTAGTTGGTTACATTAATTGGCTGAATAGTGCATGCAAAAAATAACTACAAACGGATGAGATTTCAAGTGAGATCTGCAGAGTTCTGTTCTGCATCTAGTGTTTAACATTTTTAGTCATAATTTGGCTCAGTGAGTAACAAGCTTCCTGGTCAGGTTTTTAGATGACAAAAAGCTGGGAGGGAGGTTGGCAAACGCCTGAATTTTCATGTTATTCTCCAAAAGATTTTGACAGATGAAAGAATTTGGTATTGAACAACAGAGTGAAATTTGTTAACACTCATGTCAGGTGCTGTACCTAGGAAACGGATATGAAAAGGAGGGTGAACAGTTATTCTCACAGAAGGAAAGATGCAAAGTAGTGGGTTTAATCTGCATCATAGCAGGTGCTGGATATAGTGGCCCCAATTCACCCAAGCGCTTAAGTGTGACCTTATCTTCAGGGGTGTACTTGGTAGCCGTGTTGGTCAGAGACAAAAAGACATACAAAAACTAGAACTCTTGGTTCCAAAATGATACCTTTTATTAGACCGACTGGAAAATGGCAAGAAAATTGTCCTTTTCTGCAAGCTTTCGGGATCAAAGTCCCTTCGTCAGGCTCTGGGAAAAGTATAGATGGTACATGATGGTGAAAAGTCCCTACAGGTAGGAAATAAACTTCATTTATACCCAGAGGGAGCTGAAGATGGAAGTCTGTCCCTCTGGGTCCATGAGAGTGTCTTTGTGAGCTGTGTTGAGTAGCTCTTTGATGTGTTGATCAGATGCATTTTCCTTAGCACATCTCTATTCAACCTATACATCATCCCAAGAAAGCAAAGAAAATTGAGCATCTATTTCAGGTGCTTTGCTTAAAAGGGACATACTTAGGCACATGCTGCTGTTAAGCAAATGCCTATAGGTGTTGCTAAATCGAAGGTAAAATAGTATATGTATTTCTCTTCCCTCGGTGCATCGGTGCAGCATCTACCAAAAAGCTCTTAAAATCTTATTTTTCCTGTATATGCCTTATCTTTAATCACAGATGTTCTTTATTATTTTCCCATGCTCCCCATCTCTCATCACATTTGTTCTATGCTAATGGTCTTAGCGATTAACAAAGTTGTTACTTTGCTCCTGTACTTCCTTTTATTGACCCACGTCATGTATCATATTATATTACACTCTAAATTGAAACAATTATTATAATACTGTCATTTTCAAAATGCCTATGAATACGTGGCTGTCATTAGGTGAAATTCTGGGTTTTTATCCTTGATTATTGATTTTTTTCTCTGCCTACCGCAAAGACTAAAATACAGTGAACTGTAACTCAGTGCGGACTTTCACTCCCTTTTTTTTTTTTTTAACTTAAAATTAATTTCCTTTAAATTTATAGCTGCAACTTTATTAAGTTTTATATTTTCAAGCTTGTATTTAGTTCTTAGGAGACAGGCAACACTTAAGTTTTTTCTTCAGTTGACAATTTTGAGTAAAGAATCTTGTTGCTTTAATTTCCCTGGGTTCCAAAAAATGTGCCAGCCCAAAGTGTTC